CTTCGCATCCGGCACATCTGCCAGAAGACGGGTATTGACAGCCTTGAGCCGTTCCACATCGAAGATGGAGTTGTAGAGTAGTTCGGTCAACCACTTGACGGCCACAGCGTACCGTTCGTTCTCCACCTGGAAACTTATCCGTATACCTTCGACGTTGCCCAGATTATTCGCTGCATCGATAGAATAGCCTACGGTATCCCGCTCGAGTTCGGTAACTACCTGCCGGAAGTCAATGGTCTCGTCACCTCGCTTGATCGGTAGGCTGAAGAAAGCTTCCATATAGATCGCCAGGAGGGGTCGAAGGTCGTCGGGGAGAGTCTCGGTCGAGATGACCAGGTGCACTCGAGTGAAGTTTGTCGGGATGTGTTCGAAATTAAGAAAGAGTGGTACATCTTTTGCATCCCCGTCGATGATTTTCTGATACTTGTTGTCTCGCTTTCCGAGATCCAACGCCCGACCTGCTCGAGCGCCTGGGATTGTCACAAAATGGATCGAATCCGTCAGGGGCACTTTGAATTTTCCCAGCAACTCTCTCGGGATCTCGCGGTCGTTCTCGGCCTTTGCTGCATCCAGTTTTTCCTGCATTTTCTTCAGCCCCTCGGGCCCTAGTCTGGCTTTCTGCTCTTCGATTCGATTCGCTTCATCCGTCTTCAGCTTCTCTGACAATCGCGCCGAGGGAACACCCAGGATCGACACATGAGGGGCATCCGAAATATACTTTCTGATATAGGCTTTCCACTGGTCTTCCGTCCAGCTTGTAAGCGTCTTGATATAATGTTTCAATGATTTCGCAACCTCCAAGGTCGACCCATCTCTCTTTCCATACAGGTAGTCGGAAATGATAAAATCTGCAAAAGCCGTGGCGGAGCCTTCGGCATTGTACTTGGTCGTTCTTACTACACGGTCGATGCAGTCCTTCATGAAATCCATATTCAGGGGCTGTTCCATAGCCTCTTGCAACACCTCAAAGAAACGTTTCTCGACCTCTTCCAGCCGCTTGGTTTCGACACTGGACATGGAAAACTGAATCTCTGTTCGCGGGCGGCTATCGAGCTGGTAGAAGACACCGCTGGCCAACTGCTCCTTTTCCACGAGGACGTGGTCAAGCACTGCCGCTGAAGAGCCGGCGAGATAGTTGAGGGCAACATTTAGTGCCCCTAGCTCCAGAGCGTTTGCACAGTTGGGACCCAAAAAGCGAATGTCGACTTCGCCGAATGACTCGTCCTCCTCGGGAAACTCGACTCTTAATAGAGTCGTCTGATCCAACGCGGGTGCAAGTTTGGATTCGATCCACGGCCGTTTGAAAGGGGTGTCGGGACTGGGGATATCCGGTAGGATCGACGTTTCGAATTCGTCCAGGATGGCTAGTAACTCGTCGTGGTTTGCCTCACCAAAGATCGCCACACAGAGATTCTTGGGCTGATACATTTCCCGGTGAAATTCTCGAATGCGGTCGGCGGTAAGGACGCGAAGTTGTTCCAGCATCCCTCCTGTCTCGTAACGATAGCCCACCCCTTCGGGATAGAGGATTCGTTTGGACTGGAGCTCGATCAACTCCGACGCCATATTTTGCACGCCCTGCATCTCTGAGTACACCACTCCAGCATCGTTGCCACTTCCGTCAATGTGATGAACCTCGGTTGTGCAGCCCGCATCCGTTAGTGTGGGCAGAATGACGTGTTCCAGGTAGACCGGGAGAATTTGAGCAAAGCCCGCCCAGCCCGCCGTTTCTAGAGTGTATGCTGTGTGGTCCGTCGCTGTCCATGCGTTGGTACCCGCATACGCTCTCGTGGCGAGTTTGTCCAAGAAGCCCTTGTACTTGTAGTTCTTGGAGCCCATGAAGCACAGATGCTCCAACGTATGAGGTGCCCCCGAGTCATCGTGGATTTCAGTGGCCAGCACGAAGAAGCCATGCAATTTAGGGCCTTCCTGGTCGACCACGATCACTCGCATACCAGTGCGTTCAGATTCATACTGGGTGATGGTGCAGGGGCAGTAATCTGGCTCGATTCTTTGGCATTGTCGAAAGCGGGGCTTTGCCCGGATGGAGACCATGTCAGCGAAAGAGAAATGCTTTTTGAGCGGTTGATCCAGAGCGAGATATGCTGCTGAGTTGCCCACGTGAGATTAGCCAGATGGACGTTGCTGGAATGGAGCAGCAGGAGGAGGTGGTCGAGCGTACTCGGAGTCAAGAGCGCCAGAAAGCAAACAAGCAGGGAAAGTAGAAAGACGACAAGGCCCGCTTGCATGTACTTTTGGTCACCCTCAGGCACGGGACATTCTTCCAAGCAAAGAGGTCGACAAGAAATGAAAAAAAGGGCCAGGCCTCAACTCATCGAGGACAGCCTTGTCCTTATCATCGACTCACCAGTCAGCTGACGTGCAGGTTTGCCTCTTCTGCTCTTTCTTCTTCAACACGCTGTGCAACCCCCTCGACTGAACAGGGAGTGCCAGAGACAAACGACAGCACCAGAGCACAGCGAGTGGCGAAGCTCGAACGAGGTTGGCCCAACGAACGTGGAGGGTTTGACGGCGAAGGCAGCAACGTCCTCGTGTTCGTCCAACGTTCGCTTGGCTTGCGTCCCAGCGGGTCTCGCTAAAGTGACCAACGGGGAGAGAAGTAGAGCGACAAGGAGTTCTCTTGAGGAAATGGCTCGGCCAGGACTGTGTTCGCCAACGGCAGCCAAGTCAGCAATGAATGCAGTTGGCTTCGTCACCGCCGCCGAGTCCGACATTCAAAGACCTCAAGTCTTGGCATGTGGCACAATTCGATTGTGATTGTAGGTCACGTGAGTAGCAATTCAACGTGCCAAAGAAATACCTTGGCATGTTTACATCACCAAGCTAGTGAGTCCACTAGAAATTCAACTAGTCTAGTTACGGTTAGTCAAAGGAAGCACTAGCAATCCAAGTCCTCCTCTTATTTACAGCTTCTCTTCTCCTTTCAGGACAACAAGTTCAGCATATCAAGGACAGTGTAATAAAGAAGCCTCAGGCTAAAATGTAATGCCTACAGGTCCGAAGCTTCAAAACTACATGCTCCAATTATCCACTCCAACAAATGGTACCTATATATTTAGGTAGGGATGCTTCCCATTGGAACACGATCCGGGAGTACCACCCTGATCCACCACCGAATCAAGACATCTCGCCCCATGATGAGATTGCTGAAATCAAGCAACCTCCCCTCGCGCCATGAACGACTCCAACTCCATCTCCTGGCCAAATAACGTCACCTTGAACGGTCGCTCGATGACCACGAATTCAAAGTTTCTACCCATGCCGGCACCGTGGAAGTACCTGCGCATATCCTCTTCGGTGAAGCCGTGCTTGTTGATGGTCTGTAGAACGTTTCTCGCCGACTCGGGGAGGTCTTTACCTAGCAGCAATTCAGGTCTCTCGTCTGAGAGAACCCGGTCGAGGACCACGCAGACACCCCCCGGGCGTAATGTCTTGGAGAGGCGACGTAGTAGTCCCTCGGGGTCGGCGACGTGGTGGAGCGCCGCACAGACGACGGCAATGTCGAAATCAGAGAGGGCCGGGTCGGTGGGCTGTGGTTCCGCGAGTAAGTCGCATTGAAAGGCGTGGGCTTTGGCATGAGCATGGCCATCCAATCCTTCAGCCCATTTATTGTACTCGGCCACCATGTTTGCAGAAAGGTCAACCCCTACTGCTTCGGTGACGTAGGGAATCAAGGCCTATTACGAACAGGCACGAGACCAGAGTGCGACTTCGTGTCAGTGCTTGCTTTCCTTCCAAGTCCTCTGCCGTGATCCGTGATCCGTGATCACTGACAGAGATACCGGGGTCCAAGACATCCGTACACACATACCTTTGAGACCGTCCCCGAGCCACAAGCATAGTCGAGCAACTTGACTGGATCTTTCCCCTCTGTTGAATTGCTGTCGGACCCCAACTTGGCCGAGATCCACAATCTCCTCTCCTTCAACTCCTCAATGACCGCCTGTATGAACGGCGCCCAGGTATCCTGGTGACTCGAGGCGACTTGACTAGAAAGCTCGAGACTTGGTCAAAAACGTCGCACTGACATGCGGTAAGTTCACCGAGGTACGGGTGGGGGTCATACTCAAAGTGTTCGCGGTTGCGAGTCGTAATATCGGCCATTTCTCTCTATCTCCCAGGACTGCTGGTATAGTATTGCAAATGCGTGCTGCCTCTGAACAGTTGACTCCACTGCTTCTTTTTGCTGGACCAAGGGAACTCGCATATGGATGGGTAGGTAGGACCTTATGAGATATAGATATACACAGATGGGAAATGGTTAACTTGCCTACCCCAGAACGGAAATACCTCTGCGAATAGAGGAACGGTAAGTGAGGACCTTGACTCCGTCCAATGACGGGGTAGGTATTTCCCCTTGGTTTCTCCATCTCAATGGTGCAAAAGTCTCCGTGTATCCATATACACCCATAACCCGGATTTGCAGCAGACAAGGTCGTGAAAGCGTTGGCAGGTCTTGACGGGTGACGGAGACTTTCGAGACGGAGACTTTTTGGAAAACGTCCAGAATCTTTGATCTTGATGGATCGGAAGGCAGCCGTAGAGAAAGGCAGGGTGAGTGCGTGGCTGGTTGGTATCGTATCCAGCTCGCCACGACAGACAGACAGACAGAAATGCTCCGAAGGATTGACTAGGACAAATAACAAACCTCCAAGTTATCAGCGGCCACAAAACACCGCCCTGGAAATATACCTACATATATGTCCATACACCAACCTTGTACACAACGATCGAGAACACACTGTGCAAAGAGCTGCCTTCACCGTCGACGACGACACAACCTTGTCTTGACATTTGATATAAAAGACCTGTCACTCAATACACCCTAACAAAAGGTCCTCTTATTATTTTTTACGGTCGCATTGATTTTATGATTTGTCACTTCTACACCAACACCGCTGCAGTAGCGGCGCCTTTATAGATATCCACGATATCCCACCAAACCATCATAATTCCTCAACCAGAGAGGGGAGGAGCAACTACAAATGTCCCGCCAACCCAGCCAACGCTCCAAACGCCGCTCTCGGGTCGCCCTTGAACCTCTTCTCCGCGACCTGCCAATTGACGACGTCCCAGATCTTGTTGAGGTATTCTTTCTTGTTGTTGAAGTATTGCAGGTAATACGCGTGCTCCCACATGTCGACGCCCAGCACGATTCCCTTGCCACCTTTTGGTAAATCCTGGTCCTTGCTCGTGGTCAACTCGAGGGTCTTTGTCTGCGGATCCTGCACCAGCCACTGCCACCCGGAGCCCTGGATCGCGAGCGCGGAGGACTCAAAGGCCGCCTTGAAGGCGTCGACGCTGCCCCATCTCTTGGTGATGGCGTCGCTGAGCGTGGGGGCCACGGCAGTCGCGGAGAGGTTGTTGAGGCCGCTCGACGCGGGCGCGAGTGATTCCCAGAAGAGCGTGTGGTTGATGTGTCCGCCGGCGTTGAAGTTGATGGCCGCTTGGAGCTCGAGTTGCTTCACGAGGTTATTAGCCGCCGCTGCCTCTGCTTGTGCACCGAGCGCTGCGTTCAGGTTGGTGATGTATGCCCTGTGGTGCCGGTTATAGTGCAGGTCCATTATCTGGCCTGATATAGAAGGTTCCAATGCCTGTTTGGACGGACGCGAGGTTGGTCAGCTCACCGTTCCGCCGGTTCAGGACAGTCTCTGACTGAGCTGGCCATGTACGCGCCAGGCAGGCAAAACATGTCCCATCGGGTACTTACATCGAGGCTGTATTGGAGTTGAGGGAGCTCGTAAGTCACAGGCATCCTGCTCAAATAGTGGCTAAAGTCACTGCTCGTAGATGGCGTTTGGGTGGGATGCTTTTGGGAGATCTGTATGTTCCCTAGTAACAGCCAGCCTGATAACCCGACAGTCAGAGGAGGCGACAAACAAAGTGGGAGGTCCAACAATATAAATGGTAGATGATCCCATTGCTGTCCATGGCACCATCGGCAAAGGATCTTAATCCCAATGCAGGAGGTCGAAACTTGCTCAACCTGCTCATGGGAACCAATCTGAGCACGTTCTCGCACACTGCTCGGTGTAAGCAACTGAGGACCTTAAGATCCGCGATCCCCCTCCCAGAGAACCCGACACCGGATCACATCCAGGCTCTAGAACAATGGTCTCCCTGTAAATATGCTGGGCTCGTGTTCAGAAGCAGTCCTTTGTAGCGGTCGACCGAGCCTCTGCGACCGAAGATTATCGCGAGGCCATGTGTCACCAGTTCAACCCTCGGCATGCCCCTGCGGGTGATCTCGTTGCCATTATACACCGTATACAGGACGACAATCGAAACAAGACTGTTAGCAATGCGTGTTGGTGCCGGTTGCTGCTCAGCAAATCGTGTGGGAGCGAGATAGTGGGAGAGTTGAGGTGCGAGGAACCAACTCAGGCCGACAAGTTTCAAGGTCAGAAGCTCCATGTGACTATTTGGTATGGCAATCGGCTCTGTCTCCTCCTCTCCTGCTCTCCTGCCCTTCTGCTCTCCTGCTCTTCTGCTCTTCTGATACCGTGCCAGGACGTATGCGAACGAGCACATCCATACGGCGCCTACTCGAAAGCAACGAGTTCCCAACCCTGTCTTTGCACGCTTTCCGCTGGTGACCGGCGCAGGTCCTACCATTGTCGGTCGCGCTTCTCGTGATACCGATGGCCGTGATGAGTGTGGTCGCCGAGATTTTGATCTTACAGTCGACGAACGAGGCATTGTGGGGAGAGAAGTCGACGTTACCAATGAGCAGGGCCAACTGCTAGGAAGAGGCATAATCGGTTGGAATTGACATGGAACAACAGCACCGACGACATATTTGTTCTGTTGAAGCGCTTGTAACCATACATTGGATGGTCGTCGACTGCTATGCGCTCGCTTTGGTCTCGCTGGCGTCACCATCAGTCTTTCTCGATAGAAGATCGACGTGATGCTCTCGTTTTACTTTTACATCATCTGAACACCACTTGATTTCCTGGGCAACTGCACACGTGCATCCACAATGATGGTGATCTTGGAGAGGATGGGATACTGCGACAGGGTAAGCAAGGGAGAATACCGGGCTGGTTGACAATTGTGATAATTATGATGCAGAATAGGAATGCCATGTCGGAGTACCGAATATATATATATATATCTAAGATAGATAAGGAGGAAGGCTGCTGACCCATCAACGATACCAACACCACAGGGTGGCAGAGTAAGTAATATCTACCAGTTGTGTACATCACTTTCATCCTCCAAACAAACAATTTATCTGTCAGTCCAATAGAGCCATCCCCATTGGGCATCTGGCTTACAATACCAAGTACTTCCCTCGTATACTCGCGGCCATCTCATCGCATGGCAACTGGATCTTATATACAGACACACCAGGCGCTTGTCAGGACAGATGGATTTGTGATTATTTTACAACTATGCAGTTTGTGCGGATAATATGTCTGGAAGTTCCATCTCAACCTCTATACATCCAAAAAAACTGAGGTTTCTGCCAGTCTCGCGCTTTGTACCATTACCCAGATTAACTTTTTTCCCCAAATCCCTCCAGAATGCTGATATATAAACTTGCCGTCTCAGAATTCCAAATACTGCAGTCGCCCTCATCCTTTCGTAAGAACGCCCCCATGGGACACGAGAAAATGTCTAAAATGCCGGTTCGTCACGAGGCGTTGGCGTATAACTCCGACAGTGTATTCTGTCCTTTTCGGAGTGCCCAGGTCTTTTGCTTCTTATCCTTCTTCATCTTCATCTCAGCCCAGCCTTGCTCGTCATCTTCATCGTCCTGGTTTGCCAATGGGGATCTCCGACCGAGAGTGTTCACCGAAGGCTTCGCAGCGTGCGTCGACGGTCGCTGCCCTGGGTCCATTGAAGACCAGGGTCGCACAGTGGACGATGTAAATGTCGACGCGCGATGATGCGTGGACATCACTTCTGGCTCTGGGGCTGTGGATACAGGCCGGTATCTCGGAGCTAGGCCGATGTTGCTGCGCTCAGATGGTGCGATCGAGGGAGCATAGTTACCATTGACATTGATGGACGGCAACATCGGTGGCTTGGTGTTCCAGGGCGCCATGCTTGGATTCAGAGTACTCATGGTCCGTTGATTCAGCTGAGGTGGCGTGCCATTCTGCATTGCCAATGATTGAGGTCTTGCAAACGCAGGATTCGGTACACCAGGAGGGGGCAAGTTTGGCCCAACCATCATGTTTGACATTTGTTGCATCCATTGCATCTGCATCTGCATCATTTGCGTCATCTGTTGGGACATTTGAATTTGCGCTTGATCACCAGGAGTCAGCATAGGTGGCATCCCTGGCATCATCCCCGGCATTCCTGGCATTCCTGGCATGGCCGGTGCTCCCATGGGTGGATAAGCCATCGAGGATAGAGCCCCGGTTGTCTGAGATCGTACCATGCCAGGAGGGGGTCCTCCCATGGGGGGCAAGTCGTAGTTGCCAGCAGGGTTCGGGCTTCCTCGTCGAGCAGCTCTAGCGCGTTCTTCGCCAGCGATAACTCCGACAAGCCCTGCAGGGTGAATGGGATGGGCTGTTGCAGGTCCCGCTCCCTGTGGCGGGGCTTGAGGGTGAAGCGCCAGAGCTTCACGATTCGAAGGGTTTACCAGGCTGGCTCCATAGTAAGGGTCCGGGGGTAGTTGTCGAGCAAAGACTGGCAAATTGCCGCCTTTAGGAGCTTGACTGACCACAGACGGAGCCCCTTGGTTCTGGCTGACACTGCGCAAATTGGAGTTGGAAGGAGAATTTGCAAGTCGTGTGGGAGGCCTATTTCTGTTCGGGAAACCGTGGGCCGCAAGAATACCAAGTGGCACATCCTCATCTTCGTCCTCCTCCTCTCCGCTACTTTTACCAGACTGCTTCGAGTCCAATGTCATCCGTGACAAGCGGTTAAGATCCGTTGCCGAGTTGTTGTCACCCGCTCGCAGCATGCCGAGGCTGCTCATTGATCGAGTGGGCGGTGCTTCGCCTGTTACCTTCATCATCTGTTGCCGGTACACAGCCAGGTGGGCTTCTTGTTTTCGACGCTGCTTAGTTGCTTGTCGGCTGCGTTCAATCTCGTCGTCATCGTCTTCAGCATTGTCACTCGCCTCAGAAGCACTGTCGTCAGACAGAGCACCAAGCCGTCGGTCCATCTCCTTTTGTTCCTTGTACCGTTCCCACTGAGCAGGCGTCATGACTTTATTCATGGCAACCGATTTGACAGGAACCGACTTGGTTTCCTGATACATGTCGGCAAGCTGTGCATCCGCTGCAATATTCGGATCAAACGAGGCGCTATGTGTCGAACTCGGGGACAATCCCGCCATGTTGTCCCGAGCAGGGCTTGTCAAGGCAGTACTGCTGTCTGCAGACCTGGTGTGTAGCAACTGAGAGGGACGTAATTCCTCCTCATGTGCAACGGATGCCGAACCTCCCAACCCTCTCGCAGTAATTGTTGTATCTGACATCGAGCCGAATCTTCCAGGGCGAGAGCCAGCGTCTCCAGCTTTCATCGGGCTTCCCTGCGTAATAGTCTTAGACGGACTAGGGGACCGTATCAAATGATCATTGGAATCCTGTGACGCCCATGAATAAGGAGAGGATTCAACGACTTGCGAGCGATCCGTGGAGATAGGCTTCGGAGGAGGTGCTCGATTGACACGAAGTGGACTATTGCCTGGATAAGAGGTCGGAGGATATTGTGTAGGAGCAGGAGAGATCGAAGCCTTTGAAACATCAGCATGGAATATTGTCAAAACGTTCGGAGCTTTCTACTACCTCTTGGTGTATAAGCCGGCTTGGGGGCGCGTCAGGGCTAGACCCGATATGGTCAAACATGTTTCCGAACTCATCCAATTCGGAATTCTCCAACGATAAGTCGGTATCAAACAGTCTGGGAGGCGTGGCCGTGCTTGCACTACTTGACGTGACCGCCCTGTTTCTGCTTATGTCCTTCAAAGGCGGTAAAGCACCACCTGGTGAGGTGGGCGATCCTCGACTGCCTTTCACGAGCCCAAAGGAAAATGTCCTAGTGGGACTGCGAAGGAAGCCAGGCCTTGTCGAAACCGGCGGCGGCGCGGGGATATCGTTGAACGGTCTTGACCCAGCACCTCCTTGGACATTCTTGTCCGACCTTGTGTCAACGGAAGAGGGATTTGTCGACGAAGTACTGAGGCGGGCGGACGATGCGGCACTGTCGTTAGGCGCGGTTGAGTGGGATCGTTCAGTACCACCACTTCCCCTAGACAATTTTGTCAGTCCTTTACCCTTCATATGGTCGACCGTGGTTGTATTCTTCGCGTACCGGTTGCTTGCATCAGGGCGGCCCACTCCAAATAAATCTACCTCCTCGTGGTCGCGTCGATCTTTCGGTGGTGGCAATGGTGCTCCTCCTAGAGATGCCATCTTCAAATGTTTGCCGCCATCAAATGATTTTCCGCTACTCTGTGGCCTTTCCAAAACTCGGAAGGAGGAAGCCTCCCCAGGCGGGTTGCGCACCTCGTCCAAGGCATGGCCTGAAGATTTCCGTCGTTGAAACCCCTTGGGAAGCTTGATTGGCATGAAGGTGGTTTCGGCGGAACGCGACGGTACCCGAATGGGGGGGACTGTTCAAGGACAAGGTGTCTGACAAGAGGTTTCGAGATATTCGGTCCGCGGCCAGGAGGCAAAGAGGTTTAGCTGTGCAAGACTAGGGACGAAAACATGGAAAGCAGTCGGACAGTGAACGGTAACCTGCATACAGAATGAGGTCAGCAACCAATACCCGGTTGGCCTTGAGGGAGAGAATCAATGGATGCCCTACAACGATGTTTTGTTTTAGGGCCTTTTCCCAATTTGCTCTCGTCAGCAACCGGCGACCAAAAGGGACCGATGCCAAAAGTCTGAACTGGTGTGCTGTCACGGGGATAATGATGCTTGTGGCTGGACCAAGTGTTGATGTCAGATGGACGAAGTGATATGTTTATTTTTGTACTTGTATAAGCGAAAGAATGCCCGGAGGGGGGTGGTGGTGGTTGTCGTAGGGGGAACCGAGGAAATTGAACGGGCAGGCGTCAAGAAAACTCTAGAAGAAGAGGAGCGACGAAAACAGCGATTGAGATATCCAAAAACTGGAGGAGATGGACAGATGCGAAGGGTGCAGATGGCGTACTGTTCTGAATGAGAGTGAAGAAATGTGAAAAGGATTGAATCATGGGCAGAACAACAAGCGAGCGGCCAGTTTTGGAGTTGCGCAGGCGCAGGTGCATTGGTTACTGCAGAATGCAGGTTCAGACGCAGGTGGTAGGTGGTATTAGTGGGCGTGGGTGGATGGAATGGGCATTTAGCGGGTGCAGGGCACCTGGCCAGCTGGGAGCGAGGGACACAGGTTCAGGCTATTACGAAGACTAGTTTTACTGGGCACCGCCGAGAAACAAGGGAGGCTCAGGTACCCAGGGGGGTGGGTGATCCAAGCCCTAAAAAACAAGCTGAGGCCAGTAAGACACGGCGGGGGAGACGCGAGGGCCAGGGGACACCGGGGTGGGCCAGCCACCGTTTATTTGGATCGCGCCTTTGGCACCATCGGACACCTGGGTAGCCTTTTCACCGGGCGGCCCATTAGAATTTAGGTGCCACTGGTGCCTATGGCGCCCATTTGCACTCCACCGGTGCCACTCTTTGCCCAAAACACCCCAATAATAATAATGACAACCGTCGACAGCGTGTGGGTAGATTGACATACAGAACTGCTGCTCGTGAGGCCCGTCATGCATAGCCCACACCTGTCCTTACTTGTACAGGGCCAGGGCCGTACACGCCTAGCCAAATGAGATGAGGACATCGTATTGATTGATATTCCATCGAATGATGAATTTGTTGATTGATCTCCCTTACTCAAAAAGTCCAATCCTCCTTGCTCGCTACCCCCATCTTGTTGTTATTGTCTCCTCCATCTCCAAATCCACTCTTGTGTCACTGCCACTCGCAATTTTTCATCTGCGGCGTCTTCCACTAAACTCTGTCTATCCTCAGACCTCCGGATCTCTGTGTGATGTGGCTAGGTCTCTAGCCTCTATTGTTGCATGCAATACCACCTCGACCTGCCACTTTTGCACGCTTTCGGCCTTTTCATCTCCGCCTCTCCGAGATCTTCGACATGCACGTGTTGCTTCTTTGCACGGTAACAGCCAATGCCCTCGGTCCATGTTGGCCGCCCAGGTCATTTCGCACGCAAGTGCTCGGGGTATACGTAAAACGCCCAGTTGCGGCTTGGTGTGCTAACCTTTGTCCGCTTTTAAAAAGTCCGCTAGGTTCCTGGAATTCCTCGCGTCTTTCGGCGTCCTTTAGCGCCAGCCTTTTCTGTGGTTTGCCCTTTCACCGCACGGTGTACCGACCAATAACGAGGAGAAACCTTGTTGTCGGATAATAATGTACCAAAAGGAAGAGGTCAAGGCCTTGCCGAGCGAGACGAAGTATAGAAGCCAGGCGACTCAGAGTCGAAGCGTCATCCTAGTCTGTCCGTCTGCGGCTTGCAGTAGCTTGACCGCCTCCGCAAAGGCTTGACAATGTTGACGGGTCACCTTCTCGAGAGCTTTGTTAACGTCAAACCCCAGGGAATTGGCCGGTGACAACCTTCTCTTGTGACTCGTGGTGGGGACATTCCCCTGGGACACATGTTCAAGGCTGGCCGTCACTACGGTTGATCTGGACAGCTTTGTCCTCACCTGCGCTGAGAATGCCAACCTCGTGGTGCCAACACACCCCAAAGACTTTGACACCGTCACCACCCGCAGGATTGGCAGCACCATTCAGGCTCGCTCTTGGCAATATATACAGACTCTGTCCGACAGCACCCTCTTTCTCCTGCTTGGTGCTCCGGACATCCCAAACTCTACATGTCCCATCATGGCTGCCACTGACAATGGTATAGTCGTTGGTAGGATCTCGGGCCAGGCTGACAACTGAATTTTTATGGCCTTTTAGGGTCATGGCCGTGACTGCGGTGGCGGACGTCCGTGGGTCCACCAGCTTGACCACGCGGCTTACTGAACCGGCCGCAATAAGGTGAAGAGAAGGCATATGATCAATGCAGAGCAATGCACTTGATGTAGTCCGAGTGTCAACCAGCGAGGCAGTGACCAAATCCCAGGTACGGACTGTTTGATCCCAGGATGTTGAATAACCCACCGTGGGATCATGGAGGTCGAACATCGCTCCAGAGACTGGACCTGTGTGCTGCTGCATCAGCGCGAGCGGCCCACGCTGCGACACTGATACCTCGCTGTTCAATTTTCTCCTCTTGCCATCTTTGGTCCTTGTCTTCGGGACTAGAGCCTCGGGTGCTGCAGGTGCATCTGATTTTCGGGTAGACCAGATTCCAACAGAGTGGTCAGAAGAGGCGGAGAGTATGCGGGAAGAGGCGGCATGGGCGCAAACCGAATCTACCGAAGATTTGTGCCCATAGAGCTCGATCTGGGGCGAGAGGCTGGCTGCAGACCCGCTCTCATCCTCTGTGTATTTCCACAATCTTAAGGTGCGGTCAAAACTCCCTGAGACTGCTTGAGTTGGGGATATGAATTTGGCAGTCTTGACGAAGGATCCATGACCGCCATGGCTCACACCGGGAGATGTTGCGAGAATCTGAGAGGAGGAATTCCATACTCTTAACAGCCCGTCATAGCTCGCAGTGAGGATTCTCGGAGAGGTGGTGGACACGACGTCAACGTCACTGACCCAATCGTCGTGTTCAAAGGACGCCACATATTGGGGGGGAATGCGTGCTCGCACATATTCGATCGAGACTGTCGTCTCTGCGGAGATACCGTTGCTTGTGAGGTACTCATCCAAGGTAGTTCGAAGATAGGTACCATTGATGATAAATTCCAGAGGGATCGTTTTCTCAGTTTCAAGGAGGTTGTTGACGAGGGTAGAGAGTGTAAGACGGCGGAAAGACGTGGGAACAAGGATGGGAGCTAGGTCCTGGACAGCGAGATCTGTGTCTCGAGTGGTTAGTCTCACCCGAACTTGCGATTGACTTCCTGAGGCACCGGCGGTGCCGGCGCCTGGTGATGCAGCCATAGTTGAAGCGTTTCGCTATCTGCTCTGAGATGGCGGCGCCAATCTGGCTGCTCGTAATCTGGTGCTTAAAAGGACGTTTCGTGAAGTCTGGTAATGGAGAAATCAATTTTGCTCCAGCAATGTTTTGCGGAGTGAAAAAATTTCCGGCGGTGCATAGAGACCAAAACTAGCAATTGGGCACGTGCGGGGATACTTTCTAACACCGTTTGAAGGATATCCTTCGCCGCTTTTGTAAATGGAGAAGGGACTTACTGTAAATACCCATGTGATACTTCAATCACCAGTAGCGCCTTCGATGATCTCATCATTACCTAGGAACGGAGGATAAGCTAGAAGTTCTCCAGTATCCAGATAATGTTAATCCTAATATTAGGCTCCTCGAAGACTACGATGTACATGCTATTGGCAAGAGGCCAGAGTTCTTGTGTGCATTAAAAGCGGCGACAATCGTCCCCAAACCGTAAAACCGCAGGTGGATGTGCTGGCCACAATTTCACAGATGACACTTCGCGACTGCTCCTGCCAGCAACATTACGTGCAGAGACATGTCTAATGAATCAGACGCGGCGACATCTTTACGCGATGCCATAGTCAATGGCAGTATTCCGCAGGCGGAACAACTCCTCACTTCTGACCTGTCCTCTACAATCATCTCGGCACTTCTTGCGCAGATTTCCCAAACACGGCATGAGATCAGTGAAGAGATCAGAGAAATAAGCAGGGATGGAGCTGGCTCAGTGGATCAATGGATTCTCCAGGCGAAGAAGGTTCAGGAGGACATCGCCCGATGCAAACTCGAGTCGAGACGAATTGTCGAGGAGCACCAGCAACTCAAGGCCCTGAGCGACCGCGCAACAGACTATCAACGTAAGGTTGAACTTCTCGACACAGAGATCAACTTCACCGAGACCCTGGGACGGGAGCTGGAGAATATATCACGGACATCGGGATCATTGAGGGAAATCGAGGAGCTTTTAGCCAGGGATGACCCATGTCGGGCTGCCTCAACGTTGCGTGACCTGGACAAAAGGCTTCCAAGCAATTTCAGGTCCAGGACGACAACCATTGTTCGAGATCTCAGGGATGAACTACGCCTCAAAGCTCGTATGCAATTGGACACCAAGCTCAATGCTCAGATTTCCGTTCGAAGGGAGCCGCGGAAAGCAAGCCTCGAGATAGTCCCTGTCGAGCCTGGATCCGACTCAGCGAACTCCGATGCTATTATTCAAGCTCTTAGCGAACTAGGTGATATACAAGACTCTGTCGAACCTCTAACGGACAAGCTTCGAGCACTCCTCGTCCAGCCTCTTCGACGCACGGCCCGATCGAAGCTTGCGACTTACCAGGTGGAGCAGCATTCCTTGACCATTGAGTTAAGCCCAACTCTCCCGTCTATAGACTTGGTTCTCGACTTCGTGCTTGACCTTCTTAATTTTCTACAAACTTCTCTCCCCACAACTATACAGATGGCTGTGGTCAGCGCAATCCTTGAGCACCTGATGAGTGTACTGGTGTCGGACTGGCTCATCGCCGAGCTCCCGGTAGACCTTGCAATGCTGGATAGTCTCGATAAACTGCAACAGAGAGTGACTGTAATCATGGACAAGCTGAAATCACTACAGTGGACAGGGCAAACTCAGCTGCAAGACTGGATGGATGATATCCAGCGTACATGGCTAAACAAGCGCAAGGCAGCCACACTGGATGCTGTGCGGAAAGCATTTGCATCTGCAAAAGGCCATCTCAGGCAGGTTGAGCGGGTCGAGAGACAGGTCATATCAACGGCCACCAAAGAAGCTAAGGCAGTGGCTGATGAGCCCAATGACTGGGACGTTAGTTGGGACGAAGATCCCAAGGACAAATCCTCGACAGAGGAAGCCCTAAAAGCAGGCGAGAATGGTGAGGATGATGACACGAGCGGCTGGGGTTTTGACGAGGAGGAGAACAGCGAAGACAAAGTAGACAAACAGAACGGCCATTCGGTGTCGCAAGACGAGGATGATGCAGGAGATGCCTGGGGCTGGGATGATGAGAGCCCTGCTGAGACGAGGTCGGAACTGGCAGATAAACATGCTCTCTCAGAAACGAATGGAGCACGAGGACAGACCGAGCATGAGGTCACCTTGACGGAGGTCTACAGCATCAGCGAAATCCCCGACCATCTCATCGAAATCATAGGCAGGGATATCTCCGATGCCCAAGCATTCGAAGACACCCAACACCAGAGCCTGGACTCGTCGACAACATCAAAAGGACTCCTGACCTTGCCGACCCTCGCTCTGGCCATGTTTCGCGCCACCGCACCCAGTTATTATGGTGCATCATCAGCTCTGACCGATATCCACCGCTACAACGACTCCCTCTACATTACCGAGCGACTTCGTGACCTGACCCTCCCAGCAGGTATGCCGCACATCGAAGCCGACATCAAATCTATGGAGAAGTTTGCCAAAATGGCGTACTCCAAAGAGATGGAAACCCAGCGGATCATCGTGTGGGACTTGTTGGACGGGGCACAAGGGTTCACGTCGTGCACCCAGTTCCCTTACTCACAGGAGATTGAGAACGCCGTCTCCGCCGTCGTTGATCGCATTCGCACGCTGCACAAGGACTGGAAATCCATCCTCTCGACATCGGCATTGATGCAAAGCATTGGCTCGCTGGTAACGATGGTCATCAACAAAGTGATATCCTCAATCGAAGAGATGGACGACATCTCCGAACCTGAGTCCCGGAGACTCACCGCCTTCTGCCAGCAGATTGCCAGTCTGGAGGACCTCTTCCTCTCGACTCCTCCGTCGGCAACCACTGAAACTCCAGAGCAGCCTCACGAGCCAGTTCCCATGGTAGCTGTCTACGTCTCTAACTGGCTGCGCTTCCAATACCTGATCAACATCTTGGAGAGCTCGCTCGTCGATATCAAATACCTGTGGACCGAAGGAGAGCTGAGTTTGGAATTCAGTGCCGACGAAGTGGTCGATCTAATCAAGGCGCTCTTCGCCGAGAGCCCGCACCGGCGAAGCGCCGTCGCCGCCATCAAAGGTTCTCGGTCGTCCAGATGAGTCCGAGGTGCGGGAACGACGTTTTGGCCGTGGAGGCCAAAGCTCACCTTTTAATACACAATCTATACTCTGAGTAGAGCGAGAGTGCGCTTGAGAAGGGTGAAGGGGAATGGGAAATCACAGTCTCACTGCAACTGCAAACGTTAATGCCAACCAGGAGAGACTCGTGAAATTCAATCCGGGCGGGCTAGACAGCTGCTAGAGGCTACAGTGTAATATAGTATACCGACCTTGACGTGATGTATACCAAGTACTGTTTTTTGATCATTATTTTTCATATTTCTTGTGACCATTTTCCCTCTTCCCACGGATACGTGAGAAATAACAGCTGCAGCGCTTCGCCAAACGTGTGATGTATTATATGTATTCATACATACACGACACGTGCACGTAGATTGAGATGCCCACTGTCCCAGTTAGATAGGTAGGCAGGTAGGTCAGTAGACAGATAGCTAAGCAGGTAAACAACATTATATATTCGATCCGTCGTTGAAAAACTCTCTCCATTTTAAAATCCGGTGTTGATTCCATACATCATATATACATTAACGCAGCTCGTCCGAGGCCCCGGAAGAAGAAAAAAAGGAATAACGGGGCAACGTGGCGCGCCTTTCAGCAGAGAAATTTGTATATTCTCTTCCACCGCGGCCATCTCTTGCGGTCGGCCCGCTCCTCCTGCACCAGCACGCGGACATTGAACTCCCTCTTGCCCGTGAAGAGGTCCATGTCCCTTGCTCGCAGAATGTTCGTCTTCATGTAGATCTTGTAGCCGATGTACATCAACACGACGACGGGGGCGGCGAGGTAGGCCTGGAAGAAATTCACGATGCGGTCGGAGATGGACATGTGCTGGTACCCGACGGGGGCGAAGCCGGTCCAGAACTGCGCGATCAGGACGAGGATGTTGAAGGTGAGGCCGACCCAGGACCCGACGATGCCCACGGGTGACCGGAATGCGAGTTCGTCCAGCGAATGGCCCTGCAGGGTCCAGGCGTGGCGGAAGCGGATGTGCGCGAGGCAGATGGAGCTCCAGGTGAAGATGGAGCTGAGGCCCGAGAGCGCGAGCATCCAGTTGAACGCGTCCTGCTGCTTCTGTGTCGCCGCCAGGTATGCCAGCAGTCCCAGCACCGAGGCGACGATGATTGCATACAAGGGACGACCCTTGCGGTCAATGTAGGCGAGAAAGACGGGTGCTTGACATTGTTCTGCCAGAGCGGCAAGGGTGCGCGAGGATCCGTAGATTGCAGAATTCCCGACGGAGAGGACCGAGATCATAATGACAACATTCATGACGGACGGGAGGACTTCGATGCCGGCGTTCTGGATCGAGATGACGAATGGGGAGGCTCTGCGGCTCGGGGTTAGGAAAATGATATAGACCAGAACATGCTAGAAAAGAGGACTGACTTTGCATCGGCACTGTTCTTGCCATTGAGCAGGCGAGGATCAGTGTATGGCACCAGCGTGCCTACAAGGAGCAAGCTGACAACATAGAAGAGCGTAATACGCCAGAATACCTGTTGTTTCAAGTCAGATACCCACAGACACGCGCACCAAGAGACTTACCTGTTTGATAGCAGTAGGTAATGCTTTCCTCGGATTTTCGGTCTCTGCTGCTGCGAGACCAACCAGCTCGGTGCCGGCGAAAGCAAACGCTGCTGTCACAAAGGTACTGCACAGGCCCTTGAAGCCGTTGTGGAATGCTCCTGGATGGTGCCATAGGCGGAAGCCCATGTAGCTTGCATCGGGATTTCCAAGACTGTCGACGCCGCCCATAACATTGATGAGGACTCCCAGAAGACTTGCGGCACGAGTCAGTTGTATATCAACAAGATAGAGAGGGGAGAGCGCTTACATGTATCCTATCACGGCTGTGACCTTGACAATGGCAAATACAAACTCTGCTTCTCCATACCCTTTCACACCAAAGAAGTTGATCAGAACAATCAGTACCAGAAATATTGAAACCCAAGCGGCATTCAGAGAAATATTTTGAACCTGCTCGTTTCCGTCAACCAAATATCGATCGCCGCCCGGCATGACCCATACCCAGTAATCCACAGTGATTGAAGCGCTCACGATCTCCAAGGGTAACACCGTCAACCAATTCAAAGCGTAGTTCCAGCCCATGGCGAAGCCCCAGGCAGGGTCCTGTAGAGAGAGAGAGAGAGAGAAACGCATCAGTTCTCCGAGTGGAGGGCGAAGGGTAGGCCTCTTGTCTTCTTCTTACCAGGAATCTCGTAGAGTATGAAGCGAACGACCCGGCGACTGGGAACAGGACTGCCCTGTGAACAAGTCATTAGCATCAGCAACCCGTGGGGGAATAAATGGAGGTATTTACAGTTCTCCCAGCGCCTGTACTGTGCAGTACAACATGCACCCCGTCAAAGCAAATGACAACAGCAACGAGGCAGGCCCGCCGTATGCCAGCGCTTTCCCGCTGCCCACAAAAAGACCTGTGCCGATGCTCCCGCCTATTGCTATCATTTGTAGATGTCGTCCTTTCAACCGCCTCAACAATGGCGACAATGCCGTCGCCTGCGCTGCCGCTTCAGCATCGTATCCCTTCCCGCCAGCTGCGCTGAACGAGGCCGACCGAGTGACACTTGCGTGGGGATCTCGCCGGAAAGACTCGGTGAGCCGGCGGGCGAATGGGCGTCGCACATTCCTCATGTCGGCCTCGTATGCGGAAGGGTTTGACGACGATTCAGGACTCCATGTTTTTTTGTCCTCCATTCTGTGACTGTTCATGCCATCGGTCGGTCAGCGGGGAGGAGCCGGCCGGCTTAGAGTCGATTGTCAGGGTGGATAATGTGGACGCCGTTGCTAAGGTCCAAGTCAAAGCTTCAGCTCATGGCAATGGGAATCAATATGTAGGGTCTGGATATCATCGTCGGCAGTCACATAGGGTGTCTTGTGTCCTAAGTGAACCTCATTCGAAATCGGGAACCAGGTGGTCTGCGCAGGAGCGCATGCTGTGCGCGGAATGAGTGGGCGGTGCTGGGAGTTGGATGTCCCACCAGCCAATCGCCTGGGATCAAGAAGAAAGCCACAAGATAAGGCCTGTTGTTAAAGCGAGTGGGCTCAGAAACCCCACCTATAACGCTTGTTGTAGATAAGAACCATGTTCTCTACCCCGTACAGAAGATAGGAATCATGGGGTGTCTCGAAAATGCAACCAGCAATACAAGTACAGTGGCTATGTAGACTATGTGTGCAGGCAATTCCGCGCTATACAATATTAAGCATCACACAATCACAGCCATCCTTCCCATCATTACGTCGTGAACAGCTAGCAATACAGCCAGCGGGAGATATTTCGTCGGTTCATGAGGCGTGGCGGTCTCGTTTCCCGCAGCTCAAGCCAACAACATAGCTGCGAGGAGCCATGATTTTGTAGTCGGAATGTTCATTTGAGACAAGGACTGCCAATTTGACGGCAGGAGACATGACCTGGTCTTGGTGAGGATGTCCCATGTCGTACATCAAGTTGGATCTTTCCCGTCGTTGGGGTTACCTATACTTGACGACATGGACTCGTCTTCGTCTCGGGCCTGAGTATCTATAGATGATGGTTCGATGGCTGGTACAGAATCCGGCTCTGTTACATCTGGCCTTTTAGGCGTATGGCTTCGGTTCTCGTCAACTTTGACTTCTGCACTGGTCATGTTTTTCACGTCACGCGAGCTCAGCCCTCGGCGTAGAGCTAAGCGTTGTGCAGCCTCACGTTTCTGTTTGATTTCCAGTTCCTCCTCATGAGCCACTTGCTCTTCTTCTCGCCGAAGGTCCATCAAACTTGGGGGTTCAGGCTGCTCCTCGACCACGTCAGAGGATAGCGGCGCTAGATTCTTCTGAGAATCTGATCTGTGGGTGCTCTTGGCACTGGGACTTCTTAACGACTTCGATGAGACAGTGCGGGTTGAATTGCGAGACACCCCGGGCCGCTTGCCTCCCGATGTCTTGGTTTTGCCACTGCTCTGATCTTCCGCGAAACCTTGGTTGGTCGTGCGTCGGCTGAGCATGACTGCGAACTCATCGTCAAGAGGCTGCGCATCTTCGTCCTCGTCGCTCATAATCAGGTCACCCCGCGAACTCAGGGAATTTGTGGTTGATCTGGAAGCGGCAGTATCGCTTCGCTGGCGCCCGTGCCCCTTTCGCCACGTACTGTCGTGTTCGTCTGTCTCCTCTATTAAAGGTTGGCTTTCAACGTCTCGCACTCGGGTGCCGCCTGGGTTTTCCTGCAAGTCTGCGGCTGACGGCTTGTAGCGCAGTTTCCTGAAGCCAATTTTCCATGGAAGCCGCTCCAAAAATCCTAGGTATGATGAGCCTGGTATGATGGTGGGATCCTGCTCAGAGTCGGGCTGTAGCCCAGAGGGTTTCCGTCGGCCTCGGGAACCATAGCTCATAGTCCTTTGTTTCCGTGGTTGGACGGACTGCGAGCCCCCACCGGCGAGCAAACTATCCAGCTCATCATTGCACCAGCCCAAGGGGCTGTCACCAAGCGCCTCATCATCATCCCAGGCATTGTAAAAATCAAAGTTATATTCAGCTCTGCCACGCGACCGGCCTCTCCTTCGTCGGATATTATCATCTCTGTTCGGGAAACAAGGCGCAGTACATGCGCAGAGGCATGACTTCACGCTTTCAAGGCATGGGTCGACGTAACGTTGGGTGAATGTGTATATGTTCTCTTGAGCGGCTTGGTTGGCAGATTCGAAGTTATGAGAGATATTGTGGAGGGTCTGGCGGAATTCGGGATTGTTCATCTTGACAGCTCAGGAGCGCCGACATTCACGGCGCAGGGAAGGGAGGCAGCGCAGTTGGGCGATGATTGGGCTTGAGACGCATGCGCTGTATCAAGGCGGAATGACTTCACAATTGCCATGCTTGTTTCCACGAGCGTCGCATGACAAGACGCCCTATGTAAGGTAATTCAGGAACAGCAAAGACAGTTGTCAGTTTAATTGTCTGGGGACGGACTGGGGGTGGCGGGAAGACAACGGATGACGGGATAAGATATCCCGGAGAAGGTGAGTGGACCAGCTTGACCGCTCGCCGCTTGGCACAAACCACGTGTCCCATTCCTGGCTTGCTGGATCTCGGAGATAGTATTTATCCGGGACATGCACTAGTGCGCCTCACTTTTCCCGCTCCACACCGTCCAGCTGATCAACTTCAACTTCTTCATCTTTCGTCCTCCCAAATTTCGGCCTTGACTGCTTCTTTACTGTTTATCTAACGGTAGAAGAGCTATGGTTCAATATATTCGCTTTCTGCGCACTCCACAAAGTGACGTTGGGAAAAAGACTATCGACGTCTCCGCAGTCGTAGCCGTCACCACAGACTTGGGTGATGCATTCTTTAGTGAGGACGTCGAACTGCTCGCAGATGTTGTCGAGGCCAACCCTCCCCATGGTGTCCTATACTCTCAGACTATCAAATGGCAGGCTTCATCGCGAGCTCTAAAGTTTGCCGTCCATTGTCCTGGCAAGTATCTCTCTAGACCTGTGCGCCTCCATGTGACTACCACGGAAACAGAGACTGCCTCTCAAGCATTAGAAATTCCAAAAATCCTGGATGTTTGGAGTTGTGTCTTCCTTCTGTCTGATAAGCAGCGGACGGACCCAATCGTGGAGCGACGAATTGCTTTGTCGAATAGGAGCATGGTGAGGATGTGGGAGGAAACCGGTGACAGCATTGCGCGGCATATCTGGTAAGAGCCTCCTTTCCTCCAAACCGATACCGCTAAAAGGTGAACCAGGGATGCGAGTCTAGGTTTTCTTGTCTATTTCGCGCATGCACTGTCTACCTCCCCCATCGATGGAATGTCACTGTTAGTGTCCCTGTTCAAGTCCAGCAAGGTAAGACGACTTAGAGTGCTGGAGCTTGGTGCAGGTTGCGGCATAGTAGGAGTCGCATTGGCACAGCTTGTCAAATGCGACCTTCTCCTTACCGACCTGGAGGACGCTCAGGAGATTTTGGCGAGCAATATCCGATGCGCTGCGCCCGTGGCAGGATCTACAGTTCGGTCGGAAGTGTTGGATTGGGCCTCGAGCCTTGATGATAGCTCCAATGCCAATTACGATCTCATTTTGGTTTCCGATTGCATCTACAACCCAGACAGCAGTCTGCACTTGGTAGAGACCTTGAGGCAACTGGCCACTCGTACGCCCGAAACTGTCATACTGGTTGGATTCAAGCGACGACACACCGAGGATGATTTGTTCTTCGCACGGATGCGCACTGCAAACTTCGACGTTCTCGAGACCCTCAAGATTCCGCTCCCCTATATTGACACCGACCAAGACGTGGACCGACCAACCACCGAGTTCTTTACCTATAAGATGGACACTCAGTCACAGAACGACTCCTAAGGCCACACACCAGCGTTATCGAGAAGAAATAGAGCACATGCTGCCTTATACCTACCGGGTGTCCCCTCAATGGCGGTGAAATATCCCATCTCTCGGCTAGGTGACGCCCTGGGAAACCATACCGGCGATCCGGGGCCAGTCACGTGCTCTCGTCCCTGAAAATCCCGCACAACGGATACGAAAAAAATCAATCAAGATCAAAATCAGCTGCGGGAAACGGAAACGGAGGAACCATCCAACGCCCAAGCACCAGCAAATGACCAATACGCTACTGGCAGACAACGCAACTAGCTGAATCACCGATCCCTTGTCCCTGGCGCGTCCGTGGCTACGAAAGGTTGAGGTCACTCCCTCCCTCCCTTGCTGGGATCTGACTTTTTTCCTGCTGGGCTTCCCACAGTGACTCCCATGGTGTATCCACACTTTGCCCCCCACCACCGTGTCGTTGTCGCTCCTCTGCAGCAAAAAATAAAACCAGAATTGCACCAAAATCATCGACCTTTTCACCATTTTGCCTCTCTTCACTACTTCCTCACCTTCTTCACCGCAACATTCCACAGCTTCCCACGACACTTTTGGTTGGAAATTTCTTGGACCTGCCTTTGGGACCACCAAAGGCACCTCATTCACGGCTTCGACATCGTTTGCTCTCCGTTATCAAGGTGCATCTACATACAGACATCGTCACATCGTTAATCAGCCTCGCCCGCCTCCTGCTGAAGCCTCAAGCCTCAACGCCTGCTCTGTGCTTTCACCTTGACATCCCAGACCTGCTTTTCCCCCAATTTCAGCTGCCGCATAGGTCGCCACTCGAGGTTCTTCCTCCTCGTGAGGGAGAGTCGCTGAGGCACAGCCAAATTCCTAGAGGATCCGAATCCCGCAAACCTCCCTAACACTTATTGGGGAACTTCTTATCACTCAAACTCCTAACATAGCCATTTTGCATGGTTATGGCACCTTCTGCTATCGCCATTGAAGAAACCAATACTACAGTTCTGACTGACAACCAAATCGACAAGCTCGATTTTGTCGAAACTAATCATGGCGTTGAATCCGATGTGACTGGTCTGGCCTCCAAGGCGCTGATCCAGAAAGTCCTCAAGGAGCAGATTGCTCGTATCAATGTTGACACCTGTGAGCCCGGCGAGGAAGATGCATTTTATGTGGCGGATCTGGGGGAAGTGTACCGTCAACATCTACGCTGGAAATTGAACTTGGGCCGAGTCAAGCCCTTCTATGGTGGGTTTGACCCACTGTGTTCCATCTCCTGCATGTGCTCACAATTGTTACAGCGGTCAAATGCAACCCGGACAAGGAAGTGCTCCGCCTCCTGGCCAAATTGGGCACTGGATTCGATTGTGCGTCTAGGGCCGAGATCGACCTGGTATTGGGGCTTGGCGTTTGTCCGAGTCGCATCATCTATGCCCAACCGTGCAAGACCAAATCATACTTGAGACACGCTCGCAAGGCTGGCGTCAGCCTGATGACCTTTGATAATACCGACGAGCTGCACAAGATCAAAGAGTGCTATCCCGACGCTGAGCTGGTGCTCCGAATCTTGACGGATGACTCGGCAAGTGCTTGCCGGCTCAGCACAAAGTACGGGGCGAGTCTGGAGTACGTTGAGGAGCTGCTTGGTCTCGCCAAGGCATTGGAACTCAACCTGGTCGGCGTCAGCTTCCACATAGGCTCAGGGGCGAGCGATCCGAACTCTTTCGACAAGGCGGTTAGAGACGCTCGCCACGTGTTCGACCAAGCGGCCCTGCTGGGATACGATTTCAAGCTGTTGGACGTCGGAGGCGGCTTCGTCGACGAGACATTCGAAACCTTTGCGGGTAATCTCCACGAGGCGCTCGAGGAATACTTCCCGGCCAATGTCCGCGTGATTGGTGAGCCTGGCCGCTACTATGCCTCCAACGCCTTCACGCTCGCCACGAACGTCATAGCGAGACGCGAAGTCGCGGTCAATCACGAAGGCGGGAAAGGGTACATGCTCTACCTCAACGACGGCGTCTACGGCAATTTTTCCAACATCATCTTCGATCACCAGCACCCCGTCCCGCAGGTTCTGTCCGTCGCACCCGGCCGCGGTCAGGACATGATCGAGTACTCCATTTGGGGCCCTACCTGCGATGGCATCGACGTGATCACCGACCGCTATTTCTTGCCTGGCGTGGTCGAGATCGGCGACTGGTTGTACTTTGAGAACATGGGCGCGTACACCCGGTGCTCGGCCACCAAGTTCAACGGATTTAGTGATGACCACGAGGTCATTTACATTTCCAGCGAGCCCGGTGCCTCGGCCTTACTCGGATATTGAGCGTGCCAGGTTTCTCTCCGACAAACTTGGCAGAACCAGTATGCAGAGAGGCGGGGGGTTTACCTCTTGAAAGGTGCAAAGTGTGGTTGCAACCTGCGGCAACATGTTTGAAGCTGTCTACACTGCAACAAAGCCTCACTCAAGTGTGTGCGGCTCGAAATTTTCCTTGTTCGTTATCGCACTCTCCTTTACTGCCCAACCGGGCCCGATAGATCAGATACTTAGATAGAAGATGTCTTCACCCTTACCAGAAAACAAACAAATAGGGGCTCAAGTTCATCACCATTCAAACATTTTACCCATAAAGAACCTCAGCCTCGCTACATCCAAGCCACGCGCTTCTTTGCTACGGGCTACGATCAACGTATACGTACTTGTAGGCTGCCTGCCTGGCTGGTCCACCTCCATACCTATGTACGTACGCACTAACTAGTACCAGTACCAGTACCAGTACCAGTACCAGTACTGGCACTGGCACTGGCACTGGCACGATACGGCCGAAATGTCCTCTGCTCCTGCCATGCTGCCCTTTGAGAGTTGAAAAGTCTCCGAGTTTCCGGTTTTTTTGACTTCATATGGCTGTGAGGGAGCCGCTACGCTACGCGAATGGCAGCTAGGAAATTAATTGCTGGTGCCTGGACACGATATGATGTACCTACCCGAGCACCGAGAAACCACCAAACTCCAACTTCTAACTTGAGTAGCGTGGTAGGGTAGCGACAGAGAAGGTATACAAGTGGAGTGGAGGTCCAATAGTACCTATGTAGTAGTTGTAAAAACAACGTTTGACAGAGAGACAAAGTTCGCGGGGCCTTGATATAAAGAGTATCCTGCTGCTCCTGTTTTATCCTATAGAGACGCATGCTCTCTCACTTCGTTCGTATCCTAAACATGACTTTTCACCCTGATTCTCTTCCAGACTTGACCGGCAAAGTCTACATTGTCGCAGGTGGGAATTCTGGCATGTAAGTCCTCATGTCTCTTCTCTATCGTGACACCTGCTACAGAGCAGAGATCTAAACGCTTCGCAACAGAGGATATCACACTGTTTCTCGCCTCGCACAGCATGGTGCCCATGTGTACATGTGCGCGCGATCTCCTACGAAAGGAGCAAACGCCATTGCTAGCATCAAATCTTTGTATCCCCAGGCTCACATAACGCTGCTTGAGATGGACCACCTATCACTCACTTCGGTGGTATCTGCCGCAAAGTTATTTCTTTCCAAAGAAAGCGCACTGCATGGATTGGTCAACAACGCTGGAATCATGGCCACACCCTTTGAGATGACACAAGACGGACACGAAGCGCAATGGCAGACAAACTACCTTGCACACTGGGTCTTCACCTCCCACCTTTTGCCTTTGCTGCTGAGTACTTCCAAGACTCTTCCACCAGGCAGTGTGCGGGTCGTGAACTTGTCATCATCCGGTCACTATTCAGCACCTACAGGCGGGATCAACTTTGCCGACACCTCTCTCAAAAGCGGCGGTAGCGGCATGGGCCGTTATGGCCAATCGAAGCTCGCCAGCATCCTCCATGTCAAGACCCTCAACGAGCATTATGGCCCGGGTTCGTCGAATGCCAAACATGGAAACGGGGAGATTTGGGCGGCCGCGGTTCACCCTGGTCTAGTAAAGAGTAACCTGGGAGAGCATGCCGAACTCCCTTTCATCTTGAAATTGATGATCTTGCCATACAAGGCGCTTGGTGGAGGAATGGACGGTGACAAGGGATCGTGGACGAGTGTCTTTTGCGCGGCCAGCCCCGAGATGAAGGCCGAGCAGAGTGGTGCTTATTTCCAGAGCATTGCGGATCCCAATGGCTGGCAGAGTGCCATGGCTCAAGACAAGCGGCTTGCTGCGAGGCTGGAGGAATGGACGAGCGCAGAAATGAAGAAAGAGGGATGGATTAGTTGAGTATGCGCCGTCGTGTTGTATATGCGGGATGGGAAATCCAGGCACAACAGGCTATGTCCAAACAAGTTGGTCCAACTCCCACCATACTCCAGGTGCCTGTGACGTCAATTGCCAATGTTGTTATCGATAAGGACAAGGAGGGACGGGAATCTTCGCAGCGATCGCAGTCTGCAATGCCGACGAAATACAGACCACGAGAAAAAAGTCGTCGGCTCTTTTCACACAACTCTAATAATATATCACCACCGTTGGAATATTAGTACCCATTGACCTTGATCTAACTTCAATATTTCCTCCTGTGATATCTCAAGTTGCCTCAAGGGCCGCGTCTATTGACACACACGTCCGCCTCTTTTCCTGCGGGCCACTCCCCAACACTTCTTCACATCCCTGCAACAATGGCACCGACTCCGGTAACCATCATTACAGGGTTTCTAGGTGCGGGAAAGACAACTTTGATCTTGAACCTCATACCGCAACTCCCAAAGAATTATAAAGTAAGCGTCAAAGAATAAGCACTGAGGCGTCGACTGATATGATCATTTGCTCGTGTGGGGTCCAAGTTCTAACTGAAGAGCACAGCTTGCCCTGTTAAAAAACGAGTTCGGTGACGTCGCTGTCGACTCCCAACTAGCAGGATCGGCCTCCATCTCAGGCGTCCGGGAACTCTTGAATGGGTGCATATGCTGTAATCTCGTTGGTCAATTGAGCGATGCTCTTTTCCAGCTCAAGGACTCAGTCGCACCCAGCAGAATCATCATCG